GCCATTCCCCTCACGCCACCCCCTTGTGCGCGTCGCCACGTGATGATCACTTTGAGGAGCGCCATCGCATAGCTTAGGTGTTCAGGTGGGCAGCGCATCTGTGCGACGGTCCGAGCCGCACCTGCTCTGATGCCGCGTTCGCGGTTTTGTAGTTGTTGTCATTGTTATGTACATATAGATCCCTCTCTTTCTCCGTTTCATTCTCTTTCTCTCTCTCTCTCTCTCTGCTTATATCTCTCTTTCTCTCTCTGGTTCCCTCTCTATCTCTCTCGTTATGTGTTTATTGTTTTTCTCTCTCTCTCTCTCTCTTTCTCTCTTTCCACATCTGTGTATATGTAGTACTTAGCTAGCGTGGACCCCAGTCAGCGGGTTACTACACTGTGCAATTGACAGCTATGCGATGTCAGCAATGTGGTGCAAGCTATGTTGTGCAAGGTTGGTGGTGTGGATCATGGATCATGGAGGTCACAGCTCTGTGGCCCGATCTGGGATGTGAATGCCGTGTGAGCTGGCGGCGGACGCTATGCGGTGCAAGCTACGTGCTGTAAGCTATCTTGAGCAAGCAGTATGGTGCAAGTTGTGTGGTGTAAGGCATGCCGTGCAAGCTCTGGGGTGCAAGCTACGTCGTGCAAGCTCAGCGCGAGGGGGGGGGGGGGCGCCCACGAGGCGGCGGGAGCGACAGCGCTGCGCAGCCTCGGCCGACCCTCCAGCGCGCGGGGCGCCCCAGAGCGCCCCGGCGACGGCCCCGGGGCGGCAACGCGGCGCAGCCTCGGCCGACCCACCCGGCGCACGGGACGCCGCGGAGCGCCCACGAGGCGGCACGGGCGTCAAGGCGGCGCAACCTCGGCCGGGCCGACCCGGCCAGCGCACGGGTCTCCCACGGGCGCCCACGAGGCGCCACGGGGCGGCAGTGTGGAGCAGCTTCGGCCATCCGTCCAGTGAAGTACCAGAAGTAAGAAGCCGAGATGCAGGCACTGCTTGGGAAATCAAGGTATTGATGTTTTTTTGTTTTTTGTTTTTTTTCTCTCTCTCTCTCTCTGTCTCTCTCCCGTCCCTCTCTGTCTTTCTCTCGCCTGTCTGCTTTCCTCTCTCTCCCTCGGAGTATCTCTCCCTCCACCCTACCGACCGATCTGAGATGTAGGGCTGATCAGGCAGCTCAGTGCACGTTCGTTCAAGTTGTGCCTCCCAGTCTTTCGGATACGACGGTAATCAGGCGGATCATGGCTCGACGTTGTCTTCATGCCCGTGTCCAAGGGGGGGAGGGGAGCGAGCGCTCTGGCGAGAGGACGACTGCAATACGAGTCGGCTCGACTGCGGCGACTGGTCTGCAGCGTCCAGGCGCTAGCACGCCTTCCGGAGCAGACGACGTGTTCCAGAGCTGCTCCCCTTCTCGGGAGCCCACGGCGCTGTCTGCAAAAAGCTTCCGAAGGCCAGCGAGACTCCGCCGAAGGCCAGCGGAAGCCGCTGGAGATGTCTGCACGGCCAAAGCTCGGCGGCGAGCGAGGGGGGAAAGTTAGAAGGAGAGGGCCTTCTCAAAAGCTTCGGTAGTCCCCCGGCCTTCTGAGAAGATCTCGAATCCCTCCCCAGAGACACAACAAAAACCTCTCAGAAGGCGCGAGGGCTTCTGAGAAGTCGCGCCGCCTTCTGAGAAGGCCTTCTCCTTAATCATTTCCCCCCCTCGCTCTCCGCCAAAAAGCTCACGGGACGCGGCAGAAGGACATCGATGTTTCCAGAGTTTGGTGAGGGGGCGGAGGACGGCGCTCCGAGAGGAGCCCCCCTCCGCAATTCCGGAGGTGCTGCCACCCGTCGATCCCACCACGGCCTCGCCCCGAGGCCCGCAGATTCGGCAGCTGCGGGGCCAGCAAGTGTGGGGGGGTCGAGCCCTCAGGCTTGCAGCTCGTGGGAGGGGTCATTCGGCGGCGGCGCTGGTATCGGCATCGGGCACAGCCCCGCCGAATCCCTCGACTCGGGCTTCATGCTGGACTTCATCCTGGACTTCATCTGGGCCGGTCTGGCTCAATGGCCCCTCAACCAGGCTCGATAGCCTTTGGTCGTTCTTACGCGGACCTGCCAGGAGCTGCTTCCCAAAGCAGGTGGGGTTCGGGCCCTCGGGGGACGCCATCCCCTCCCGCCACGGCGGGTGCGGCCGCCTGTCCATTTGCGCTGCCGCGCACATATCTGTCCAGCCTGGAGCATGTCCCTATCCCAACGATTGGCATCGCCTCACCTCGATGACGATCTGCGCATCCCTAAGACTGTCATCGCCCTCGGGCTCGTCAATCTTAGGGACAGGGACAAGCTCGAGGCTTGTTAGTATCGGATCGGGCCCGGAGGCCGTATGATTGCGAATGATTGCGGATGGGGCTTGGGTGCCGTAAGATTGTGGGTGAGGGTGGCTCGAGATTGAAGTTTAGGCCATCGTTCCTGCTCCCTCTCCCCCAACCCGATAGGGTCGTCTTGAGGCCGTCTCGGGTCGGCGCAGAAAGAGCAGTAGAGGGAGGGATCAGGATCGGCAGGGTAACACAGAGTAGTGGGAGGCGGAGGAGGAGGAGGAGGAGGAGAACCAGGAGGAAGAGGAGGAGGAGGAGGAGAACGAGGCCGGGAAGGGGATGGAGCGCCTGCGCCCGCAGGACCCGCCAGCTTCGGCCGGCAGGCCCGCCGCGCGCGTCTTGCGCACGCGGCGGCGGCGACGGGGGGGGGGCGAGGGCGGGGGCTGGTGGGGATGGGGGGGGTGGGGCCGGGGTAGTGAGCTTGGAGTCATCGAGGATAACAGGACCCCTGACCTTAATAAGAGAGTGAAGACGTGGCGTCACTGATGTCCCTTTTTTGGCATTAGGAGTAATCGGCCTGGGGGTTTGATACATCCGCATACAAAAAGCTCCATCCCTAATTTCTCTAGCCCTCCTAACCAAGGTCCCCTCCCAAAGGATTAGGGCTCTTGTCGTTATTTATCATGGAGAGGATCGAAGAACAGGAGACGACACAAACATGATTTCTCGGAGGTCCGCGCGGATTTCTCCCCCCTAGCGGCGCCTCCGGCGCCGCCCCTGGCGCGTTCCGCGCGTCTCGGAGGTCCGCGCGGATTTCTCGGATCGGCGCTGGGCCCCCCTCGCGGCGCCTCCGGCGCCGCCCCTGGCGCGTTCCGCGCGCAAGGGAAGGCGGTCCAGCGCAGATCCAAGAAATCCGCGGTCGGCAGTGTATCTAATGGCCTTTGGCCCATCCGCCACCGTGCTTGGGTTGTGGGTATGAAGCCTATTGGATGTTCGTTGGGATCTCGTGGGAGGCCTCTCGGGAGCATCTTGGGGGCAGTTTGGAGGCCTCTTGGGGGCCGTTCTGGGGCCTCGTTTGGGCCTCTTGAGGGCCTCTTGGGACTTCTTGAGGGCCTCTTGGGGCCTCCTGGGCGCCTCTTGGGGCCTCATGGGGCCTCTTTGGGCGGAAGGTTCAGACTTTCGGTTCGTGTTCCCTCTCTTGGGCGCCTTTTGGGGCCCTCTTCAAGCCCTCTTGGGCCGTCTAGGTCGCCTCTTGGGCCGGCTTGGAGCGCTCCTAGGCCGTCTTGTGGTCCTCTTGGAAGCCTCTTGGGCCGTTTTGGGGTGGTCTTTGGGGCCTCTTGGGCCGTGTTGGAGCATCGAAATTCAGAAAAGGCGAGAACGCCAAAATTCTTCGAACACACCTATAGGAAAATCAATGATTTTGTCCTCTTGGGGCCCTCTTGGGAGGCCTCTTGGCGGCTCTTGGGGCGTCTTGGGGGCCTCTAGGCCTCTCTGGGGGCCATCTTAGGCGTCTTGGGCCGATCTCTCCGCGACTCGAGGCCGTCTTGGGCCGTCTTGGAAGCCTGTTCGGACCCTCTGGGCCCGTCTGGGGGCCCTCTCGGGCCCGAAAAAGTCATGCGACAAGATGCGCCAAGGCCCAAGGGAACCGCGCCAAGCACCTGGAGACTTGTGAATTTAAGGTGGGTCCCATTCAAGACTCCTCTGAACTAAGGACTGAGGCTCCAGGGATTAGGCAAAGGATCTGAGGACACGCCCACTCCGTGCCCAGCGGCACGGCGGCGGATGTTTATGGTGTTGTCCCTTCCTTTATGGAGAGGCGGTCCACGGACAGGCCCACCGTAGGTGCCGTATGTCTGATGACTTGGTGGCCCAGGTGGACGTGCGCCAGGGACCCGGACTCGGCATGCCGCCTGGCTTCTGGCTCCCGCTTCGCAGGAAGGGGCTGCAGTGAAAGGACTTTCCGTGGGCGGCCGGCACGCACTGGCCATCGGCAGCGTGCGGGGGTGGGCGCCCTCTCCCCGCAGCAGGCCCGCACCTCTCGGCGGCCAGGGTGCCCGAGGTGCCGGGGAGAGCGTGGGGAGGCCAGGGGGGGGCTCCGGAGGGCTCGGGGGTCGGCGGCGGCAGGCGCCGCAGACAGGCCGACGGGGAACGAGGAGAGCGGGGGATTGTGGAAGGGGAGGCGGATGCGGCGGGCGAGGATGAATCAGAGCGTGAATTACCTACCCCGCTTTCGCTTCCAGGCAAAACCAAGCCATACCACGCGCCTCCTCGTCAAGCGGCCTGACCAGTACAGGCTGCAATTTGGCATCGTTTGGTATCTCTTGGAAGCGAGGGTGGTCAAAAGCGAGGTAGGTTTGTTTTCCCCCTAATGAAGACGAGGGCTCTCAGTGGGTGGACCAGTCAGGGGGGGACCGGCAGTCGAGCGGCCTTTCGGAGCACACGCGTCTTGCGACTGCGCATCTCTGCCTGTTGGAGCCACCGCTGGCGGTTCTCTTCCCCTTGTCGGCCTCCTCGTGGAAGGCTTCTTGCCGGTGGCTGCACGAACAGACGAATTCCCTCCACCTTCGATCCCGTATTCATGTTTCCTCTCATCATTCTCTATCTTTCGCGTCCCCCCTCCCCATGCTCATCCCAATCCGTAGACAAAACACGTTTTCAATAGTTTTCCACCATCACACATTCATCACTACAAGAACATAACCCTTTGCCTCGACATTCCCTCCATACCACATGATGATGAGCCTCAACAGCGCGCTCCGTTCGCCGATCGTCAGGAGCTTCGTGCCGTTCGCGGTCGTCGTCTCCGCCGCCACGGTCCTTGACCTCGTGGCATCAGCGAGCCCAGGAGCAGCAGGGAGTGACGCCGTTGGCGAAGACGAGACCTTCTTGCTCCAAACGTTCACGGGCGAGGCTTCTGCGCCCAGCTCCTTCTTCGCCAAGGGCTCCGCAGGCCTCTGGGAGGCCTCTGCGATCGCCGTGCTCCTCCCCATATTCGAGCTGATCTCGCGCTCGGGCGGCGGAGCGAGGTCCAACAAGAAGTCCGCGGCGCTTCCCCAGCCTCGCAGCAGGCGCTCCATTTCCAGGACGTCCGTGACGTCGAGCAGGGCGGATGCCTCACCGAAGGAGCGCGCATCCCCGGCGGACTTCTGCACCGCGGAGGACGAGCTCGACCCGTCGCCCGCGTGCGGCCAGTCCAGTCGGCTGCACGCCGCACTGAGGGCAGGTGACCTCGCGGGGGCGGAGGCCATCGCCCGGCAGGCGAGAGCGGCAGGGCAGCAGATGTCGGTCGTCATGCACGGCGCGCTGATCAACGCCTACGCCAAGGCCAGCGACGCCGTGGGCGCCGAGCGGTGGCTGACGAACCTCACTAACTCTGGGCAGGGAAGGCCGAACACCATCTGCGTCAACATCGTCATCAGCGCGTGCGCGAAAGCTGGTGACATCGCCAGCGCCGAGAAGTGGCTCACGAGGATGCCCGAGCTCGGATTGGATCCCGACCAGATGAGCTATAACGCAGTGATCGACGCCTGCGCGCGTATTGGCGACGCCGATCGGGCGGAACGGTGGCTCAACGAGATGTCGCAGTCAGGAGCCGAGCCGAACGTCATCAGCTACAGCTCCGTCGTGAACGCGTGCGCCAAGGCTGGCGACATGAGCCGGGCGGAGTCGTGGCTGAAGCGGATGGAGCAGAACGGCGTCTCTCCTAATGTGATCTGTTTCAACGCGGTCATCCATGCTTGCGCCAAGGCCGGCGATTGCGAACGGGCAGATTGGTGGATCGACCGCATGTTGGCGCAGGGAGTGCAGCCTACGGTGAACACCTACACGTCGGTCATGGACTCCCTTGCCAAGAGCGGCAACATCGAGGCAACGGAGAGGTGGCTTCTGCGCATGCTCCAGGAGGGCGTCGAGGCTGACGTGGTTTGCTACAACATGCTGCTCGGCGCCTGCAACCGGTGCGGCGACAGCCAGCGCGCCCACGCGTGGTTCAAGAAAATGCGCGAGCGTGGCGTCCAGCCCAACACTGTCTGCTTCAATTTGCTGATCAACGTCTACGCCCGCAACGGCGACATCGAAGGCGCCGCGGATTGCCTAAAGCAGATGAAGGAGTGCAGCACGCCTCCCGACTCCGTGAGCTTCAACACCGTCATCAAGGCCTGCACCCGCAATGCCGACATGGTTGCCGCGGCCCGCTGGTTCGAGGAGATGCAGAAGGCGGGCGTCCAGCCGGACCTGTTCACCTACAACGCCCTGATCGCTACGGGTGCCCGCGCGAAGGACCCGTTGTGCGCAGAGCGTTGGTTGGCCCTCATGCTCAAGAACGGCTTCGAGGCCGATGCGGTGAGCTACACGACCTGCATCGACGCCTGCGCACGCGGAGGCCACACGATGCGGGGCGAGAAGTGGCTCGTGACGATGGAGGAGGCTGGCTTCAAGCCGGGCGTCAAGATCTACGGGACCCTGCTGCACGCGGCGGCCAAGGAGAGTGATTGCTCCCGGGTGGAGCGCTTGATCCAGAGGATGCATTCTGCCGGCTTAGAGCCCAGCGGCTCCATGTACAACGCGATGATCAGCGCCTGCGCCAAGCGTGGCGAGGTCGAGCGCGCAGAGAAGTGGTTGAACCACATGATCGACACCAGCGTGCCAGTAGATGTGGTCTCGTACTCGACGGTGATTCACGCATGTGCCAAGTCCAGTGATCTCACTCGCGCCGAGCAGTGGATGGAGCGCATGCGCACAGCGGGTGTCGAGAGCAACAGCGTTATCTGAAAGGCTTCGCCCTCGGCCGCCATCATACCCGTCTGATTGCCGCACGGCTGGGTCGATTGGGTTGACTGGCTGATTGGTTGGCAGGCTTGCAACTCGGCGGGTTGGCGGGCCGTCTGGATGGATGCACGGCTGGCAGGTTACATCGCCGTTGCGAAGGATCTTTGAGTTTCGGCCACTCCGCCCGAGTGCATACAGTGCCCGCAGACACGGGCTCACCACGACGGAGGACTTGATGGGGGCGAGGGCCCCCCCTTAGAGGCCTAGTAAGGCACCCGTCGTGCTTTGTCTGGGCGGGATCCCAACCCCCTCCTCCTGGTCCTCCTCCTCCTTGCCGTCGTCGCCGCTAGCCTCGCCGCCGTCCTCGCCGCCGTCCTCGCCGTCGCCGATGCCGCCGCCGCCGCCGCCGCGGCGTGGGCCTCTCTGGCGGCGTGGCGGCCCCGGCCCACGCCTTTGGCCGCCGTCGTTCCTCTTCGGCGTGGCGGTGAGGCCCCGCCGCGCGGGCCACCGTGGCGGCGGCGCGGGCGCCCGCGAGGGGGCCCGGCGGCGCGTGCGCCGCCGCCGAGCCGTGACTCTCTTAAGCATAGGGTGCCCGTCGCATGCATCCAGTCTTGTAAGCAAAGGGTGCCCGTGAAACCCGGCGGAATGCAAATTCCGCAGTGTGTTTCGGCGTTGTTTTGGGGTTGACTTGAGAGCAGATCTGGGTCATATTGGCGTCATGGGTTCGTGATCGGGTAATGCTTCGGCAATCTTGGGGCCGCCTGGGGGGCATTGCTCGGTCATCGGGACATCACTAGGTAATGCAGATTGGGCCACCTTGGGGTTGCCCTGCGGCCAGCTGGAAGCCACGTCGAGATCATGGGCGGATCTTGGGATCGCCCTGAGGTCGCAGTAGGCACGGTAGGTTGGTGTCGTGTCGACGCCGCGGCGACCCAGCCGCGGATGAACTCTGCCAGTGGCCACGAATGGGCCAATACGGAACGGTGTGGTGAGAAGAAAACCGCCGACCGTTCCAGGTTAAACGATCCACGCGATATCGGAAACCAACACCAGGGTCGTCAGGACACGAACTTGCCGTGTTGTCGGGTCGTTTCGCGCTCTGCGTCTCTGGTGGAAACGTTTTCTGGGCCCGCGGAGCTGCCTTGGCATCGCTTTGGGTCGCCTGGAAATCTTGCTCGTGTTCCACGGGGAACTCTTGTTGCGGCCAAAGCCAGCTTGTTGGTTGGCTGATGGGCTGGTTCGCAGGCATGCTGGTGGGAGGCTGAATCGGTGGCAGGCGAGTTCGATGAGCGGTCCCATTTTTTTTACAAGGGACCATGGCCTCGGGAGCGCGGACCCTGACACAAGGTCGTGGCTTCGGGAGCGCGGATCCACAGGTCTTTTACGAGGGGTCGTGTCCCCGTCAGAGCGGATCTATTAATTGTTAAACGGGTTGTCGCCTCGCGAGCGAGATGTCACAGTTGATGATGATTCATGGCTTCGGGAGCGCGGATCCTCAGTTTTCCCCAACCATCTTGTGGTGTTGGGTCCTCGTTTGGAAGAGACAGTCCGCGGATCTCATGATCTAATCTCCTCTTCCCTCTCCCCCGGCTCCTGCTCCTCCCTCCTCCCGCCACCCCCCTCACTTTGGCACACACACACACCACAAGTTCCGTGGCCTCATAGGGAGCTCCACCGAATGCCCCAGTGGCATGGTTCGCATGCCGTTCCCCCTCCACGTTTGCACACCCCTCAAACGCTCCGTGGCCCCATAGGGAGCTCCACCGAAGGACCCACTGGCATGTATCGCATGCCGCCATCCCATCAACTTTGGCACACACACACACACCTCACACGCTTCGTGGCCTCACAGGGAGGCCCACCGAAGGCCCCAGAGGCATGATTCGCGTGACGCCCACCCTCCACTCTGGCACACCCCTCACACGCTTCGCGGCCCCATAGGGAGCTCCACTGAGGGAGCAGCATGGTTCGCATGCCGCCACCTTTCATCTTTGGCACACTCCTCATACGCTCCGTGTCCTCATAGGAAGCTCCACCGAAGGCCCCAGTGGCATGGTTCGCTTGCCGCCCCCCTTCGCTTTGGCACACCCCTCACACGTTTCGTGGCCCCATCGGCAGCTCCATGATTCGCACGCCGCCCGCATAATTTTGGCATACCCCTCTCACGTTTCGAGGCAACGCAGGGAGCTCCACCGAAGGCCCCAGCGACATGAATTGCATCCCGCCCCCCTCTAGTCCGGCACACCCCGCATACGTTTCGTGGCCCCATAGGGAGCTCGACCGAAGGCCCCAGCGGCAGCGCCCGCATGGCGGCCCCGCCCCAGTGCGGTGCACCCTTCGCGCGCTCTGTGCCCATAGGGAGCTCCACCGAAGGCAGTTCCCACAGCGAGGGTATCCTCAATTGCATATGGTTGGGTCCTTCGCCCGGATAATTTTACAAGGGCTTGTGGCCCTGGGAGCGCGGATCGAGTATGTCTCAACCCTCCTGAGTTGGGCTCTCGTTTTGAATAGAGCACTGGTATCCCCTCCTCCTCCTTCTCCTCCCCTCTCCTCCTGCCTCCTCCTGCGCTGCTTCCTGGGTGGCCGTGAACCGTTCACCTGTCACCACCTCGCGCAGACCACCATGAGACCACGCCGTCTCTGGGGGCCTGGCGGGCTGCGAAACTGTCCCGAACTGTCCCCACTTTCGTGGGCTCCTGGGAGGCCCAGCAGACCGACGTCTTACGCAGACCACCATGGGGCCTCGCCGTCCCTGGGAGGCTGCGATCTGTGAAGCTGCAGCCGCTTTCGGGGCTCCTGGGAGGCCCAGCACAGTGACGTTTTACGCATGCCACAACGAGACCGCGCCGTCCCTGGGGGGGCCGCGTTCTGCCAACCGGTCGCCCCTTCTGTTGGTTCCTGGGCTGCCGGGAGGCTCTGGCGAGGCCCGCTCTCCTCGAGCCGCAGAGCCTCGCGTCCACGGCCTGCCAGGGTCGGGCCATGCAGGAGGGCGTCTCCGTCGACGCTGGGTATAGGGACGTCGACGGTTTGGATTCCTGTTGGTTGCATCTCTACATCATGCTCCTCTGAGCGACGACGCCAGACAACCTCTCCATCATCCGCGCCCTGGGCCTGGACATGTTGGTCGCGGGGATCGCTGGGATTCGGTCGTTCGCCTCCGGGCTTTGAGTGCCCCCACAGAGAAACTGCAGGAAGCAGTCCGCGAAGATGGCTCACGCGCTCGGCCTGGCCAAGTTCCTGTGCGAGTGAGGGGAGGAGAGCCGCAAGCGGGTTCTGGGCGCAACTTTGGCGGCACCGTCGGCGACGCCTGCAGCGAGCGCTTGCCAGTCGAGTACAAACGGGCGCGCGCCAACATGGCGCGCAGCGCTGCCCCGTCATTCAGCGCGCGGAGCTGTTGCATCACACAGCGCAGGGCGCTGAAGCGGCACAGAGCGCATTGCGTTGTCCTCAGTCGCCAATTCGCCCTCCCCCCCCCTTCAGGCGCTTGTCGCCCGCTGCGGTACCACTGGCGAACCCAGCAGATGCAGCGCGTGCCGGTGTGGCCTCCGACCTTCTCCTTTTCGTTATCCATCCTCCTTGCCCTCCCCCTTTTCCTTCCTCCCTCCCGTTCTCCATTCTTGTCCCCGGTTCTACGTTGCGCCGGTGTGGCGCGTGGCCCGACATTTTTGCGCGATTTTTTCCCGAGCGTTGCATATCCCGCAAATGCGCTGCATAAAGAGTCCACTTAAGTAGTCTCTTCACGTCTAAAAAGGATCGGGTGCGTCCCAGGGAATTTCTCAACGCGCCGCAGTCTCGGGCGCAATATTCAAGAGTTGTTGACGACGGGTCGTGATCTGCGAGGGGCAGATCCTCAGTTTGTACTCGGCGATGTGACCTCCATATCGACGGTCTTTAATTTCTGTTGCAAAGGGTCTTGACCCCATGCGAGCGCGGGCCCGCCATTTTGTTATTAGAAGCAACGGCTTCGGGAGGGCGGACCCATTGTTCCCAACCCTCCCTGCGCTTGGCTCTCGGTTTGGATAAGGCATTCTGGTTCTCCTCATCATCTTGGTCCTTCCCTCTAGTTTCTCCTTCCTCCTGTTTGCGTACTCCTCTTCTCTCGATCCTCCTGTTGGCGTTGCCTGGGGGTAGACTATGACACGGTCCCCACGCTTGTGGGCAACTGGGGGTCCGCGGACCGGACTGAAACTCGTCTCTCAGGAGTTTGCGAACTGTGAAAATGATGGCCTCGCTCTTGCGGCCCCCGCTGGGCCCGCAATTTTGGCATTCTCTGTGGGCCACACTGGGACCTCGCCGTCGCGCCGCGGCCTGCAAAGCGTGATGTTGCTGCCACTTCCGTATGCTATTCGGGGGGTCCAACGGAGTAGTGTCTCACGCGGACCACGGCGAGACCTGCTGGCCCCTTCGGCACCTGCGAATCGTGAAACTGTCGCCCTGTTCGTGGGGTCTTGAGGTGTCCAGCGGAATGGCGTCCCACGTTGGCCAGAATGAGACGTCCCCGTCCCCCCAGGGCCTGCGAATTGCGAAACTAGTTTCTTTTCGTTGGCTCCCGGGGGATCCATTGGACTGACGTCCTACGCTTGCCAGAATTCGACCCTCGCCATCCCTTCGGGGCCTTCGAACTGCGAAACCGTCGCAAGTCCGTGGATCTTTGGGGTGTCCAGCGGAGTGACGTCCTACGCGGACCAGAATGGAACTTCGCCGTCTCTTCGGAACTTCCGAAGCGTGAAACTGTCCCCACTATCGTGGGTTCCTGGGGCGTCCAGGCAGAGACCACAGTGAGACATCGCCGTCCCTCGTGGATCCCGGGCAGCGAAACTTTCGCCATCTCCGTGTGTTCCTGAGGGGTGCAGCGGAGTGACGTGTTACACAGACCACAATGAGACTTCGCCTTCCCTCGGGCAATACATACTGCGGAACCGTCGTCATTTTCGTTGGCTCCCTAGGGGTCTGGTGGAGCAACGTCCCTGGGGGTCTAGTGGACCCTGCCAATTGCGAGATTGTCGCCGTACTCGTGTGCTCCCGCGGGACAAGCGCAGTGACGTCCAACGCGGATCAGAGCAAAACCTCGCCCCCTTTTCTGGGGGCTGCGAACTACGAAGCTGTCGCCACGTTCGCGTGTTCCGTGGGGATATTGCGGGGTGACGTCCTACGCATCACAGGGAGACCTCGTCGTCCCTTGGGGCTGCAAACTGCGTACCTCTCGCCACGTCCGTGTTCTCCCAGGGGGGTCCAGCGTGAGACATACTGAGACCTCGGCGTCCCTGGGGACTGCTACCTGCGAAACTGTTGCCACCCCAGCGGAGTGGGCTTCTGGGGGTCCAGCGGAGTGGCGCCTTACGCAGACCAGAATAAGACGTCGCCGCCCATCGGGCCGGCGATCTGCGGAACTTTCGTCGCGTCCGTGGGTTATTGTGGGTCCAGCGGAGCGAGGCCCTACGCCTACCGGATTCGGACCTCGTCGTCTTTGGGGGCTCCGAACTGTGAAACCTTTGTCACGTTCTTGTGTTCGTGGGGGCTTCACTGGAGTGAGGTCCTACGCGGACCAGAATGAGACCTCGCGGACCTCTCGGGGCCTGCGAGCTGTAAAGCTGTCGCCACATCCGTGGGCTCCTGGGGGGTCCAGCGGAGTGACGTCTTACGCAGATCAGACTGTGACCTCGCCGTCTCCTCGGGGCTGCCACCTGCTAAACTAACGCATGTTCGTGGACCCCACGGGTGTCCAGTAGAGGGACGTCCCGCGCAGACCACAGTGCGACATCGCCGTCCCCTGTGGATTCCGAGCAGCGAAACTGTCGCCGCTTTAATGTGCCACTGGAAGGTCCGTCAGAGCGACGTCCTACGCATCCCAGGGTGAGACCTCGCGGTCCCAGTTTGCTGCTGCTTGCGAAACTGTTGCCGCGTTCGTGGGCTCCCGGGGAGTCCAGCGCAGTGGCGCCTTGCGCGGACCAAAATGGGATCTGGCCGTCCCTCGGGGCCGCGAGCTGCAGAACGTTCGCCACGTCCGGGGGGCTTCTGGGGGGTCCGGCGGAGTGACGCCCTGCGCGGAGCAGAATGCGACTCCGCCGTCCCCTCGGGCACTGCGCACTGCACAACCGTCGTCACGTTCGTGGGCTCCTGGGCCCCTTGCTCCCCTCCCGCCGCTTCTGCCCCCCCCCCCCCCCTCCTGCTTCCCGTTCCCCCTCCGCCCGAGTCCGGGTCCAGCGCAGATGTTTCTCATCGTCGCCGAGCTGTCGGATGTCGTCGAGCTGTCATTTCCGTATGCCTTCCTCCTTCCCCTCCCCCCCAACAAAAAAATCGTTGTGGGCTCCTGGGGCGTCCAGTGACGTTTTACGCGCATCAGAGTGAGACCGCGACATCTCTGGGGGCTGCGAGCTGCGAAAAAGTCGCCGCTTTCGTGGGTTTCTCGGGGGGTCCAGCGGAGTGACGTCTCACGCGGATCAGAAGGAGACCTCGCCGCCCCTGGGGGCTGCAAGCTGAAATGCTGTCGCCACTTTTGTGTGCCCCGTGTGTGCTCAGAAGAGTGACGTCCTACGCGGACTAGAATGAGACCTTGCCGCCTCGGGGGGCTGCGAACTGCGGGAGTGGCGTTACTCTCGTGTGTTCCTGTGTGGTCCAGCGGGGTGACGAGACCTCGCTGTCTTTATGGAGTGCGTATTGCGGAACCTCGCCACGTTCTTGTGCTCCCCGGGGTGTCCAGCGGAGTGACGTCCTAGGCAGATCAGATGACACCTCGCCGTCCCTGCAGGCTGTGAGCTGCGAAAGTGTCGCAATGTTCGTGTGCGCCAGGGGGGGATCCAGCGGAGTAACGCCCTACGCAGACCAAAGTGAGATCTCGGCGTCCCTGGGGGCTGCGAACTGCGAAACCGTCGCAACTTTCGTGTGCTCCGGGGTCGGAGTGACATCCTCTGCGGACCAGGGTGGGATCTCCTCGCTCCTGGGGGGCTGCGAGCTGCCAGACCGTCGCCGCTGTTGTGTGCCCCTGGGGTTCCAGCAGACGGACGTTCCACGCACATGAGAGTGAGACCTCGCCGTCCTCGGGGTGTTGCGAACTGTGATATTGGCGCCACGTTCGTGTGCTCCTGGGGGGTCTAACGGGGTGATGTATCACGCACATCAGAATGAGACCTCGCCGTCTCTAGGGGTTGCGAATCGCATAGCCGTCACCGCTTTCGTGTGCTCCTGGGGTCGGAGTGACATCCTCTGCGGACCAGGGTGGGATCTCCTCGCTCCTGGGGGGCTGCGAGCTGCCAGACCGTCGCCGCTGTTGTGTGCCCCTGGGGTTCCAGCGGAGGGACGTTCCACGCTCATGAGAGTGAGACTTCGCCGTCCTCGGGGTGTTGCGAACTGTGATATTGGCGCCACGTTCGTTGTGCTCCTGGGGGTCTAACGGGGTGATGTACCACGCACATCACAATGAGACCTCGCCGTCTCTAGGGGTTGCGAATCGCATAGCCGTCACCACTTTCGTGTGTTCCTGGGATTTCCAGCGGAGTGATGTTCTACGAAGACCAGAATGGGACCTCGCCGTCCTTGCATGCTGCGAACTGCGAAGTTGTCGTTGTGTTCCTTGCACGCTGGGAACTGCGAAACTGCCGCCAGTGTCGGGTGTTTGTTCTGAGAGGGGGGCGGGGCGAGGGGTGACGTGTACGCGCATCAGAGTGAGACCCCGACATCTCTGGGGGCTGCGAGCTGCGAAATAGTCGTCGCTTCCGTAGGCTCCTCGGGGGGGTCCAGCGGAGTGACGTCTCACGCGGATCAGAGCGGGACCTCGCCGCCCCTGGGGCTTGCGAGCTGCAAAGCTGTCGCCGCTTTGGGATACCGCGGGAGGTCAGGCGAGTAACGTCCTACGCGGACTAGAATGGGATCTCGCTGCCTTTGGGGGCTGCGAACTGCAGAAATGGCGCTACTTTCGTGGGCTCCAGGGGGTCCAGCAGAGTGGCGCCTTACACAGACCAGACTGACACATCGCCGTCCTGGGGGGCTGCGGACTGCGAAACCCTCGCCGCTTTTGTGTGTGTGTGTGCTCCTGTGGGGTCCAGCAGAGTGACGTCTTACGGATTATAATGAGACGTCGCCGTCCTTGGGGGCAGCGAACTGCTACACCGTCGCAAATGTTGTGTGTTCCAGGGATGTCCAACGGAGTGGCGTCCCACGCAAATCAGACGAGACCTCGCCATCCTTTGGGGCTGCGAGCTGCGAAACCATTGCCACGGTCGTGTGCTCCTCCAGGTTCAGCAGAGAGTCTTTTTTTTTGGGGGGGGGGCGCGTGCCGCCGGACCAGTTCATATGCGCCAGGCCTCGGCCACCCAGTGGCTGGAAACAAAAACAAAGCGGAGGAGAGATGCGAGGCCGCCGGACCGCCTCTTCGGGAGAGAGGAGGCTGCCCCGTGGCCAAACAGCTCACCCCACAACAGTAGTCCGATCCCGAACTCTCGTCGTGGCGAGGCGTCGGGATGAAACCCACATCGTTCACGTCCTCTCGGAGGGCTGACGATGCGCTCGGCGAAGCAGCGAAGGAGTCTCCAGAGATCACAACGGCAGTCTCCTCTGCTTCCACCGAGGGGCGGGGCAAGGAAACGCCTTCCCCCGCCAGAAGCGGGAGCAGAGGACCTGGGGGGGCGGCCTTAGGGTGCTCGCCGAGCTCCTCCCCTACAACCCCCCCGTGACAGACGAGGCAGCGGCACGATTCCCGCTCCTCGTGCCGACAGCGTCCCCCGACCTGGGGTCCGCGGCGCTGCCGACGGCAGTGCCGACGGCAACCCTCGATCGGGGGACCGCGGCACTCGGAGGGCCCACGGGCCTCGCGACTGCCACTTCCTCCAGAGAGGCCACATCCGCTCCACCCCCCGGTACCCGTCACCACCCGCCCTCCAGATTCACGCTCGGCAATGCGGGCACGGATGGCCGCCAGGCATTCGAGGGGCGCTGCCCTCGATGAGATGAGACGCGCTCTCGACTCGGCGGCAAAGGAACGGACTGCAGTTCTTGCAGCTGGCTTCTCTTGCGCAGCACAAGAAACGGCAACGTTGCGTTTGGGGTGGAGACCCTTCTTTAATCTACTCAAAGCGGTGGCCCCTGCGCCGTGCTCTTTGGGTTCGCACTCGATTGCCGGGTTACGCACCTCTTGTGAGTAGCTACCACAGGTCATGCAAAGCAGGACCGGCAAAGCTTCGTTGCTAACTTGCGTGCTCGCTAGCTTGTGTCCATTGTTGGGGGCTTCCGCTAGGAGCTTGGTTAAACTTTGGGAGAGCCCCTGGCATCCCACTTCTGGCCGAGACTGAGAGTCGCCCCCCATGGAAACGTAAACACTGGGCACGCCTGTGGCCCCACGGCCAGCTTTCCCGATCGTGCCAGCTGGTGGCTTGTGCTCGGTCACCTTACGCGGACGCTCACGCCTGGGTGGGCGCTGGTGGTGCACTCTCGGGAAGCACGGCAAAACCTTCGCCACGAGGCGCGCCACCCTTTCGAGGCTCCCTATCGAACTCTCGAGCTGCTGCCACTCGGCGGCCGAAGCCGCCTGAGGATGCTATCCTCAGGCTTCCTATGGGCAGGGGTGTGAACAGCTGGGGCACACCCGTGATTCCGCATGTGGAGGAGGGCTCCCCTTCTAAGACCACCATACCGCTGTTTAGCTGACATTTGGCTCGACGGCTCCATGTTATGCCGCTTCACCACACTCACACAATCGCTGTACAGCTTGGGCCCATAATTAGGAACATCTGCCGGTAGTAACGCCATCTGTAATTGCTCAGCAGTCTGACTAGTTTGGGGCAGGCTCGGCCAGACTACCCCCCGGGCTATGTATCTCTGTTCCCCCTCCGCGTCGAAGAAGACCCACGAATACGCAGCCCTCGACAACTCACGGATGTTATGCCTCATGCATGACCTGTCTCCAGCCTGGAAAACGTGGACCCGTCGAAATGCCCCCCACGGGACCTTTTGGCCGCTCATATCATACAACGCTGGTCCATGCTCATCCGATAACATCGGCCAACCTGCGGCAGGATGCTTAGCTTTTAGCGCCTCGAACAAAACGGTGTGTCCCCGCCCTGGGCACTCTCGAGAAAGCTGGCGGGCACGTCCGCCTCCTGCATTGCGGAAACGGCCTCTTCGCGCTGGCAGCAGTAGCGCCCGTGACCTACCGAGTCGGGCGCTTGGCAGAGCGGGCACAGGCTTGGGGTGATAGATCCTGCTTTTTGTGCAACGCGCCATCACTAAATATTTACCCTGGGCGTTCAGACCAATTCCTTTGACCCCTGGTTTCGTGATCCTCCTAGTGGGTTCCACGCGCACGCGGGCCCCAGGGTCCCAGCCAAGCTTTTTACCCAAAACTCTCTCGTGGTGTCGTTGGACTTCGAGGCTCGAGCCATGTCCAACCATGGAAGGGGTGGTGTACAGCAGGGCGATCTCCACGCCAGTATCATCGCGCCAGTCGAGACGGGTGCCAGCCTCCCATCCACAGGGAGAAGTGCGTTCGGCTGATCGGGCCCTTACTTTTAGCCCAGGTGTGACCTCCGGGCGGGATGGTCCTCCACATGCTGCACAGCTCCTGCATCGAGAAAAAGGCAAGCGCAGCACGCGTCGTGGCGGCCCACACCGCATGCGACCAAGCCAGCGCGGGGTCCACCATGCTTCTCCACATGTGATCTCCTAGAAGAGCCGTCTTGGGTCGCAAAGACACTCCAGCATGCCTGGGGGGCTTGACAAAGACAACATCACACTTCGCGCTCGCTTGAGTTCAGCGTCGCTCATGCCAACGACCGTATCACCGAAACTCAGCGCGGGCTTGACCCCCGCCGTGCAGATCTTCCCAATCCTAAACGTTTCCCTCGGGAGGGTCCTACGACACTTGCAAGGAACGCGGTGCCTACGGATCATACCCTTGAGACGACCCCTTTTCTTGTGGAGGTGGCCTTTCTTACTGCGCTCGCCCCCGCGGGCCGAATCGCAGCCCAGGGTAACTTTGCGGGTCCCGACCTGCCCCGCCAGTGTTCCAAGCCTGCCCCCCAGGCGACGAGCAACAGCGGGCGAGGATCCGAACGTCATCAACTTATCGTGCGCCAGATTCACCCCGAGCTCCTGGGCAAAAACTCTGTGCAGGTCCTGCGCCGCTCTCTCGAGCGTCTGGATGGCCTCTGCCTCCGCGCCATGCGCAGGGACAGTGTCGTCGTCAACATACGACGCGAGATCGATGCGGGGGCGTCCTCTGCACGAAACCATCGAAAGGCTCGAGCGCGTACACGCGCATAAAAATGTTGGTCGTTGAAAATGGACCCCGCTGGCAGCCCGCTCTCAGCGCACAACACCGCCAGCGCATGGTCCGTACCCAGACGCAGAATCTTAGGGCCCCTCCAGAAGTTGAAGGTGACTTTCAAGATGACAGGGTCGACCCCAGCTCGGTGACCCCTATCTCGTCAAAATTCTCGTCATACTTGGACCCATCCCAAGTAAAACCTGCAGTGACCCCTCCCTTGGCCACTCTGGCCTCAGCTTTAACCGCCTGGTTCCACACACAACCTTCCGCCGACTTCCCCGCTCCGAAGGCCCAGTTCCGTCGGGGGGTGTATAGCATTAAACAACGTCAAACGGGGTCTTCTTAATATTTCCGAGAGCCTCACTGGAGCGGAACACAACAAGATCGGGCGTAAGCCTCTTTGGGGTTTCTCGAGGAGGGGGAACAACATCCAGCATAAGGCTTTAGGGGAGAGACCTAACTTCTCCACGCATTGAAAAAGGCACGCGAGCGTATCCAAGCCAGCGTCAGACATGCAAGAGAACTGGCGCACGTGCACCCCATCCAGGGACTGAGCCGTGTGCGTCGAGAACATATTGGAAGCAGCTCGCAGCTCAGGCGCAGTGGCTCTCTCAAAGCACTGTCTGTCTGGCGCTTCAACAGGTGGGGGCATGATGGTAGCATTCCACCCCCCCTAAAACATCAGCTCCTTGGGCCAGCAGCTTTCGGGGGTCCGACGGGAAAACCCCAGGATCGGTTTCCATCACCGTCGGCTGCCATTTGGCCTTCAACCTCGTGAGACGATGCATTTTTTCGGGCCGGACCCGCCAGCGCCTCCGTCTGCCACTGATCCCAATTCATTTTAGCTTTTTGGTCCAGCCCACCTCGGGCCTGCTGAAAATCTTCGGCCCACTCTTCTAAGGACTCCGAGCAGTAATCAATCCACCCAGCGAGGGCAACGAAATCTTGCGGCCATGCCGCAGCGATCTCTCGCGCCTTGCGGACGGTGAGATCCAATCTCGGAGACAAGCCTTCGGCTTCAAAAGGCTGGCTGATAATCTGAACTTGGTTGACCGCAGCCTGAATTTTAGCATGGTCAACAAACTTACCTGACTGCACCAGCAACCGCTGACTGGTGTTTCTGAGATCCGTCATCCCCTGCTATAACCACACCCATCCCTCCCCAACCCGAATGTCGTCTTCGACTTTGCACCTATGGGGGGTCAGGACGGGAACCCACTTAGCTTGCAACTGCCTACCTTTAAGCCCTTTACGCTTAATGAGCGTGCCAGTCTTACTTTCAAGCTCTAACTCCATAGTGCCCGCGAAAACCTTCCACGCTCTATCCAAAACTCCCCAGGCCAGGGAAGCATCCTCGTGGTCGGCTCTACGGCTCGCCTCCTCCGCCACAGCTCGGGCCACGGACCAATCGATCGGGGGGGGGAGTGCGGCCAACGGGCAGCTCAGCTGGTAATTTCTGGTGCGTTTGGTAAACAAGTTGCTGCAATTTCAACGCCCCAGGCCTTAAACGGAGCTGAGCGGGTCGGTGGGGCCTCCTCAGCCACGCGCCGTCCGCCTCGGCGGCCTCGACCAGCTTGCAGAAGGCCGCCGATGCCATAAGATAATCGATCTTGGTGTTCGCTTTCGGGGTAGCACAGGTTCCAGCGCTGGGTTGCAAACTCATCATCGAAGCTTTCCGAGGCATGCCCGCCGCCTCCGCAACAAAAGCCGAGCAGTTCCAATCAGCTGCGAGCACCGATAGGTGGATCCCCTCCAGGGTCGATCCCGCGTGCTTTAAAATAGTGAGGTTCCTCTTGCTCAGACCCTCGCTGGTGTACATGCACGCGCAGCCTACGAGCAGCTCGGGCCATCCCGGTATATCTATCGTAGCGAACAATAACTTGTGAGGCACTATTATCCTACGTGGCAAGTTCGACGGCCACCTGAGGCCCACCGTGGTCATCGCAAAAATGGCCCGCCAGCAGATGTCTGCCCTTCATCACACTTCCTTGACGGTGCGCACAACATATTCCACCCCAGACTCTTAGCCGTGGCCGTCCTAGCCGCCAGGTCATCCTCGGTTATGCCCACGTCCTGTGCGAACGCCACCAGCGCTTGTGCACTCCCAAGTCTTTTCTTGAGAGTGCCCCAGCTGTTTCCGTTATACGGTTCGGAAACATGAGCTTGGTTGTCCAGTTCACCGGGGAGGCGGGCTGCGGCGGAAAGCCTACGCCGTGTGCAGAAACGCGCAAGCCAGTGCACTTGGGCCCCAGGTGTGGCCTGACTCGTGCTGCGGCTGCAAAAAAACATAGAACGCTGGTGATCATACTGCACAGGCGGTGCCCTTAGCGCCATCGTGCATCTGGTGGTCCCCTCTCATGAAGTCGGCGCCCTGACCGTACTGCAGCACGTCAAGGAGGTACCACGCTGCCTTCAAGTCATCGAATATCTGCTGGTGCAGCCCCTCTGACTCACACACATACGAATAAAACCACACCGCATCATCAGGCAACACATCCGCCATGTCGCGTGCCTGCTCGGTGGTAGCTCTCATGCTCGCCCATGTCGGTCCGTTGCTAAAGCCTCGCCACATTTGGCTTCTTGAGCTTGGCTCCGAGAAGGGCTTGGGTGAAAACACGTTTGTCGCCACTATGTTTCTCCCCAAAGGCCTCAGCCGCTGCCTCGTCCTCGAAGGCATCATCCATCTCGGTATCGTGCGGGGTTGGCACGCCCACACCATCAGCTACTTCCTCTTCTCGAGGCTCACCTGGCCCTGCACGATCGCCTAGGTTCAGCAGAGTGACGTCTGATTCATGTCATAATGAGACCTCGCCATCTTGGTGGCTGCGAGCTGCGCAACTGTGGCTATTTTCGTGGGCTTCTGGGGGGTCCAGCGGAGTGACGTCTTACGCACATCAGGATAGAACCTGGCCATCCCTGGGGGCTGCGAGTTGCGAAACGGTCGCCAGGTTTTGGTCTCCCTGGAGGAGATCGCATATCGCATGGAGTTGGGAGGTCACGCAGCGCACGTCGCTGTGCTTCGTTCATGTCAGAGTCCCTCTCAGCTGCCCTGAGCCCGCAATGCACGTTGACACGTGCCGCTCTCAGCGCAACTCGCTGTTCTCTCAATCTGGCGTCCTGGCGCTGTCCTGTCACGCGGATCTAGCGCGCGTCACTGTCACTCCCAATGAGCATTTCTAGTTTCCCCTCTCTCGTATATTTCTGCCCCATGTTTTTGCCCGCTGGTCGCATCATGGCTACTTTCCTGCCTGCGATCTGAGTTTCAAGAGTGACGACGTGAATGGGGAACATGTGAGTGTGGTTCAACGTTCGTTGGCAAAGCGTTCAAATGCGGGTCCTTCACAGCTTTCCTTTTATATTAAGCGGTTGCAGAAATCGCCGCCTCACAGTGGTAGACGAGTGGGCAGATCCCCGGGTTTCTGTTTCGTGGCCTCGGGGGCGCGGGCTCACCGGTTGTTTACACTGGGTCGTGGCCTCGGGAGCGCAGATCCACAGTTTGTTGCACGGGGTCGTGGTCTCGGGGAGCGGACCCAGTTTTTTTTACAAGGAGTCGTGGCCTCGAGAGCGCGGGACCGCGGATTTGTCACAAGGGATCGTGGCCTCGGGAATGCGGGCCTACTGGTTGTCTATGATGGGTCGTGGCCTGTGCAGCGCAGCTTCACAGTTTGTTGCAAGAGGTCTTGGCCTCGGGGAGCAGGTTTCGCGTTTGTGCAAGGGATCGTGGCCTCGAGAGCGCGGGTCTACAGATTGAAACCAGGGATCGTGGCTTCGGGAATGTTGAACCGCCGGTTGTTTACAAGGATGCTGACCTTGGGAGCACGGGTCCACAGTTTGTTGCGATTGATCGTGGTTCCAGAAGCGCGGGCCAGGTGTGTTTTACAAGTGGTCGTGACCTCGGGAGCGCGGACGCATTTTTTGTCCAAAAGTCGTGTCGGGAGCGCGGGCCCTCTGTTCTTGACATAGGTTCCTAGCCTCGGGAGCACACTTGTCCGTTTCCTACCGTGGATCGTGGCATTTGGAATTTCTTGCGCCTCTTGGCAGTTCTATGATCTGGGGGTTTGGAAACTGGCGATGCACGGTTGCCAATTCGCCGAGTTTCAGGGGATAACGCGATGGTGCGGACAGCCCCACCGCGCTAGTGAGATCCCTGGTTCTTCAAAGTCGAAAGCCAGCCTGCTGGCCCCCGCCTGGGGCCCGGCGGGCCTTCAATTCCCTCATCAACGTTTGCGCTCGCGTCGGCGACGCGGACCGCGCCGAGGAGTGGCTGACGAAGATGCAGAAGGCAGGTCTCAGGCCAGGGGTGCTCACCTACAACTCGGTGATCAATGCGTGCGCCAAGGCTGGCGACGCCGCGCGCGCGGAGTCCTGGCTCCCCCGCATGGAGGCCAGGGGCGCGCAGCCCGACAGCGTGAGCTACAGCACAGTTATCCACGCCTATGTGAAGTCCTCCGACGACAAGAGGGCAGAGCACTGGCTGGCCCAGATGCTCGAGAAGCGCCTGACACCGAGCGCCACGTGCTACGAGTGGGTCGTCCAAGCGTGCACGCAGGCTGGCAACCTGGCCAGCGCTGACCGCTGGATGACGGCGGCGCTGAAGACGGTTGACGTCAGCGCCCCCACCATCAACAGGTTCATCAACAAGTGCCTGCAGAGCAACGACCCCAGCATGGCGGCACGGTGGACCAAGGAGATGGAGCGCCGTGGCAGCGCCTCATCGACTTCTCGACCCTCCAGGGCCTGACCGGCCCCCCGGGGGTCGCGGCGGCGGCGGTCGGGGGCAACGCCAGGCGGAGATCTGCTCAGGAGGGGACGTGTCGACCCCCAATCGCCCATTGATCGGCAATGGGAGCCCGATAGCCCACCCCGCCCAGGACCTTTCGGATCCGCTATCGAGGGCCTGTCGCCGATCTGTCGGCGATGCATCGCCGATTCCAGGTCGATGTTTTTGCTCCCCTTCGAGCCGGCCCCCCCCTAACGTTCCCTTGCAGCGAGCGGGGCGTGCGTCGCGCACCTCGCGTCTCGCCGCCCCCTCTCTGCAGAGTTTCCTGCTGGCCGTGCCACGCTGAATCGCTTTTCGGCGGCACGCAAGAGGGACCCTTCGCCAGAGTGACTCCTAGTGCGGGGGCCTGAGGGCCTCGGGCCGAACGAAGGGGGGGGATAGGGAAAGGGGGGGTTACGAAATCTGCTGCATGCAGCCGGTTTCGGCCCCGCCGCCGGGCCCATTCCTCGATACATGGGCGCCTCCCTGCGCCGGGAGGCGTCGGGAAAGTCAGCTACGTGAGCTGATTCTCAAAGCCCCCCTCTGCTACCCCCCCTCTTCGCCCGGCCCGAGGGTCCGCAGATGGCCGAATGCTATCCGATGGCAGCGGGTTGCGCGCTCGGGTCTGGCCCCCCGCGCAACCCGAAGGCCGCGCACCGAGGGAGCAGTCTTGCCCGGGGTCCCGCTTGCGCGTAGCCGGCTTGTTGACGGCCACCCAGAGGCCAGGAGTGCGCTCGGGGAGCGATCGCGCGCGTCTCGCCGTGCTCGCTTCACACAGCAAAGAGCATCGTGGTCATCACCATCATCATCATCATCATCATCATCATCATCATCATCATCATCATCATCATCATCATCATCATCAAAGCCGCTCGGGCCCGTTCCAGGAGGGACACGGCTTGGCGCCCTTGTCTGCCCCTTTCCCAGACAGCGCCCGCCATGGCCTGCCGCTGGTGCCGTGGGGTCGCGCCACCGCCGCGCTCATGAGGAACGCGATCGCACTGCAGCTGTTGCGACGATTCCCGATCTTGACGCACAACGTCGGCAGCTTGCAGCCCCTCCGATTGCAGGAACTCTCCGTCGCCTACCGCAGCATCGCGATCGGCGGCCTCACAGGCACGGGACGTAGACGCCCAGCTGCATTTGCTCAAGGCGACCCCAGACCTGCGCACATACGTGAGAATACTACTTACCACAACGTGGTTCATTTCCCGTGGCAACCTGGAACATGTACGAACAAGAGTGCAGGATGCAGTATTCTTCTCGGCGAACGACTACGACCGAATGATATATCGGCCATCGAGACGCCTCCCGCCATCATTGCAGGCCGAGGTGGCATGGTTGACATCACCAAGGGCCCTTTGCTCATTCATGTGATTGTCGCTTATTTCGAGCCACGTCATCGCACAGCGCGGGCGCGCCCTGGCTGGCGCAAAGGTTGTCAGTTCCTACGGGAATGGATCGACCAGTTGCTGCGCAAATGCGCTCGTCGCAGAGTACCGCTCATCCTTACGGACGCCAACACTGGCCTCGGCAAGATAGGCAACAAGCAGGTCAACGACGAATGCATCGGACAGCACGACAATGGCCACGAGAACGAGAACGGGAAAGCTTTGCACTCCCTCATGCAGATGCACTCTCTGGGCGCGCTCAACACCCACTACAAGGTCGGGGCCACCTACACCGGACATCATGGTGTCACTACCATCGACTACATCTTGGCCCCAGTGTCACTGATCCTAGACGCTACCTGTCGCTGTTGGCTGTCATCGGCAAGGCGGACGCGCAAGAGCAAGTACTTCTTCGATCATATCCCGATCGTTGGCTACTTCCAGCTTTCCTGCCCTGGACACGACAGTACTGCGCGCTTGTGCTGGAGTTGGCCCACCTTATGTCGACGCCTTCAGGAAGGACAAGGACTGCAAGGATTTCTTCAGGACCTCCAGGACAATCTAGGAAAGTACCAGGAGGAGTTCGCGGAAGTGCGCACCGACCCCTCGCCTGACAGGTACATGCACCCCCTTGTCGCCGTCACCAGACAGGTCGCTCTCAAGCATTTCTCCCTCAGCCAGGAGCGCCCCGAATGGTGCAGACTTGCGACGAGGAGGAGACTGGACCTGCTCGCGGCACTCGGCGCCTCCAAGCGTTCGGCGTTTCGACGCGACGCTATGGGCGCTGTTGGCAAGGAGGTGAAGCACCTGACTAAGCTCCTTCACAAGCACATCCGCAGAGTACGTTTACACCAGGACCGCGATCTGGAGCAGCAGATGCGAGAAGGATGGGCCGAACGTCATCTTGCTGATATGCATTCAGCTGCTAGACGTCGCGCTCATCGGGTGATTGGAGCCCGTAGGAGAGATTTTCGTTCACTACCTTCATGCCAGCCCTCAGCAGACGAGTGGATCGCTGCACTAAGCATCCCAGGATGCGAAGGTGGCTTCAACGCGAGCGCGCTGGATGACACCTACCTGGTCACCATGCTCGCCCCTCAAGCCACAAAGTACGGTGAACGAATACAACTTCCTCCACGACCAGACGGACCAGGCACCCACATCGGTGTCCGAGATCTTCTCGCGGGTGATGAGGACTTCAACACTACTAGGCGCCATCTTTGGCGGATGAAACGCAGAAGGTTCGCACCGTGCTGGAGCCTGCCGACCGAGATTTTCCTGATCATCACCAGCCCCTCCTTCCTCAGCAAGCCAGCAGCACAGACGGCGGGTCTCGGATTATTTCAAGCGTTTGACCCGATGGACTTCGAGAAGGCGATTGACCCGACAAAGAGGAAGTTACCGCTGGACCATTTCACGAAACCCGCCAAGTTACTTATTGAGATTCACGCGTTGGCACGCGCATCACAGAGGGCCCCTAGCCAGGCCAAAATGAGCCAGACATTTGCCCTCGACAAGAAGAAGGGACTACCTGGAGTACCTGGATTACGCCTACTACATACCTTTTGTCCGTGGTGGCGGGGATTCTATCGACGCATCGCCAAATCGGAGGGGCGCCCCTTTCGACCGCCCGAGTGGGCATGCGGAGGAGTTCGCAAGCGACGAAGGGAGGGGATGATGTGTCTATCACGGATTGTGGCCCACGGAATCAGAGCATGCAGATGGACCGTCGCTGCTAAATCATACGACCAAAGATCAGCCTTCCAGAGCGGCAAGCACGATGATCTGAACCTCATCGCTGGCGACCGCGCGACCTACTACTACACGCAGGAAGGCGAACCTGACGAACTACATGACCGCATCCACACCAGCATCGAGTTCCTTCGCCATCGCCGCTCTGAGGCCGTCATGCGCATCTCCACGCCGCAGCAGTGGCTTTATTTGCGCGCAGGCAGTGGAGGACTCATGGGGGACAGCAACGAGCCCGAGTTCTTTATGTCCAACTACTACGCCAGCATCGACGAGTATAACGAGCTTACACGCCCTTTCTCTAAGTTCACCCTTGCCCACTGCGACATGCTTGGCGGCGCTGTGAATGTTGGAGTGGGCTTATTTATCGACGACCTCCTCGAGCTTCTGGCGTTTCCACCCGGGACACCCCCAGAGGAGATCCGCAACACTAGCAACTTAGACGCCGAGTGTTTGGACGAGAGCGGAGAAGCATGGGAATACAAACAGAATCGCACAAAGGCGGAGATTGTGATCACCGCCCCGCGTCGAGGTATCACACAGGCACTCGTCGCCGACAAGGCGATCGTTGGCACAACCTTACCTGAGCTGAAGCATCTCGGCGGCATGTTCTCCGCCTCAGGCAGCAGCGTTGCTGAGCGATACGAACGACTACGTGCTATCAACCGAGCGTGGAATCAGTTGAGCGGTTTCTGGCATTCCAAGGCTGGATGGCGTCCTCGCCGATTTCTTTTCGGAGGGTGCGTCCATAGCGCGGCCGCCTCTGGCGGCGAGAGCTACATCTACACGAGGGCCGACACCAGGCTCTCGACGCCAGCCTGGTGGGCAAGCTGCGCTCCATGCTAGAAGGCCGCGCTCATTCTGAACGACGCGGTGCACATCGATCATGGCCCACCCTGAACGTGTGGAGACACTGGAGGTTAGCACCAGTTGCTCTTGAGCTCACGGTGCGCCGCCTGTGCTGGTGGCGCGACATGATGACTGACATCGAACGGCACCTTCACTTCCTGACGTTTTTTTATGTGTATATATACATATATATATATATATATGTTTTTTCGGCGCGCTCGCTGTGGAGCGGCACGCAAAGCGCATTGCCCCCATCCTGAAGGAGAATGACGAGATCAACGCCGAGAGCAACATCCACCCGTGGGCGAAGCAGCTGGCGCGCGACATCGACACCCTCCTCACATTGGACCTGGCTACTGAGCTACGACACGAATGGCAACCTCGTGATATTCGAAGGCTTATGACAGATCCCGAGCTGCGCGACATGTACACCGCAGTTGATCCTCGCACACTACGAGCGAGTTGTTTCCCGCAAGTGGTCACCACATGACACGAGCTTGGAGGAGTATTTGCCCACGGAAACTGAGGTGACGGGCGTAGAAGGCATTCCCACCTACCAATGCGAGATCACCCTGGCAGACGGCTCCGTCTGCGGCCGTGCCTTTCCGTCCACCGCTGCACTACGAGCGCACCAGACCCACAGCAAGGAGCCATCCCACGCCATGAGGAGCGTGCTCGGCCTACTCATCCTGGACAACAAGTGCTTGAGATGCGATACGGTCTTTCGGACCAGAGATCATTGCTCACGCCATGTACTGAGGAGCTGGACCACTCGCCGCTGTCTTCGGTCCAACACTGTGCAGGCGTGGCTGTATCGCCCGCCCGAAAAACTGGAGCGCCCTATTTGTCGTGTCGGGGCCCCTCGTGATCCCGTACCTGAGGCCCATTTGGGCCCTCAACCCTATGGAGCCCCCACAAGACATCCATCTTCGTCGGCACGCACACCTACTGCACGTGCGTCATCGTCACCACCAACATCACGAGCACGGACACGCAGCACATCGAGCACACGCGCACGACGAACGGCACCATCATCACGTCAGTATTTCGAGCAGCGAGCGACACAGACTGGGACCGAGACGACGAGGCCATCATCCGCACGACCAACACGGAGACTACGAGCGAAAACCCGAACCCATAGTGCGACCACGAGTGCGAAACCTCCGTCATCACCGTTGACTTTCGGCTCAGTGGGCGCGCTTCGGCGCCATTTGCTTTCTCACGTGCCAGTGCCAGTTCATGCATCGAACGAACCCTGGATCGTGAAAGAGCTTCGACCTGCTCAGCGACGCCCAACCTTGAGAATCCATCGGCCATTACCTGCAGCTTCGGAGTGCGGTACTCGAACGTCGCGGGCAAGATCGCAGGTGTTTGCAACTGCTACGACACGTGCTGCTGATGAGGGCAGCCTGGCGCCTCCAGGCATCCTCGCCAGCGTCTGGGGGCATTGGCAGCGGCGGCAAGCGCGGGCCAGGTCCTGCAGCTGCCCCACCTCGGACGAGGCGAGGCGGCAAGCGGCGCAACCAGGGCGAGAAGAAGGACAAGGGCCTACAGGTTCAGGACAAGGGATTGCGCGAGCTGCTCCTCTTGCTGCCCAAGCAGGTGCTCAACAACACTCAGAAGGTCAGAACGATCGAAGGAGCACTCCTCGACTCGTTCATCCTGCCCAAGAGCCACGAGGTCATCGTGAAGATGCAGGAAGCTCAGGAGGCGCTTCCCGCAAGGACAGGGGGGAGAACCCAGACCTGCCACCGCTGGGGCCTCCGCATGTTCTGTTGCTCGGCGAGCTCCTGGACGCGCTGGCGGAGACACCCGAGGTCGGAGGCGCCAACATGGCACACCTCAAGAAGATTGTGGAGGACTTCAACGCATGCGAGAAGGTCGAGGAGGCAGAGCAGCTCATCAGGGTGTGCAGGATCTCCAAGACGGCGCAGGAGGATCAGGTCAAGCTCATCTTGGGCATCCAGCCAATGGCCGAGAAGCGCCACCCCGTGATCGACGCCTTGCGCCAGCTCGGAGCAAGGCATCTACGGGGAGCAGCACCACCTGGATACATGGAGGAGGAGCTCCAGGAGTGGACTGAATTGCTGGAGAATCACCTCCAATAGAGCACGATGAGGACGAGCGGCACGTGACATGTGCTGCAGTGAGTGAGTTCTTCTGCGCCCCGCCCCGCATCGTGCACGCTTTTCTTGCGTGCCAATCTTCTCGCTGTCATCTGTTTGCGGCTGCGAATATGTTCTGATCTTTGGTCGGCGGCGGTGCGCCCCGCCGATCGCGCGCTGTGCGGGGCAGGTTGGGCTGCCCCCGCACGTGCGCGTAGCGCACAGCGGCATATCACGCGGTCCACGCGGGCAGAGGGCTCGACCCCCCATCTCCGCTTTCACCCTCCCCCTGAGCCCCGACTCTGTTTAAAAATCATCATCATCATTATCATCATCACCATCATCATTATCATCATCAGCAGAATCAGCATCAGCATCATCATCATCGTCACCATCATCATCGTCATCCTCATCCTCCTCATCATCATCATCCTAATCCTCATCATCAGCATCAGCATCATCATCGTCATCATCAGTTTCATCAGAATCATCATCTGCAGCAGCAGCGTCATCATCACGCTCACCCCCATCCAATCGTTCACCCCCCCTTCCCTCTACCAGAATGCGCATGTTCCTAGCATCCTCGTCCGCCTTCACCTTCTACTGCTGCTCCTCACCATCAGGCCCGAATCGACCCCAGCCCCGACCCTGCAGCTGCTGCTCCACGCGGCATTCCTGCCGCTGCGGCCGCGACTGCCGCAGCAGATGGTGCATTCGTCCCTGCCTGCTCACGCCTTCCAGCAATATCGCGGACATGCTCCATCACATGGGCGCCGTTTCAACACACCTGGCGGCCGTGTGGAAAGAGCGACACACGCCATCATCGTCGGAAGCATCCCCGCCCCCACCAGGGCAGGGTAAGCTGGCCATCCAAGCATGCCCCCCTCCAGGTGGGGACGGGTGCTCCGAGACCCGAAGGAGACGGTACGCCTCCCCACCCAGGGAGGGGGGGTAGACTGCCCAGCGGGGCCGAGGTTTACCAGAGGGGGTGGGAATTGTTCTCCTCGACCAGAACACCTGCCTTCTCTCCGGCATCTTCCGCCTGTGGCCCTCTCGGGCCGTCTCGGGAGGGTATCGGTGGGACTTCCTGGGCCGTCTCACGGCCGGCCTGGGGCTGCCTCGAGGCACGAAGAGCTCCCTCCAGACGAGTCTGCAGGCGAGAAATTGAGGCAAGACCCCCGGGAGACCCCAACCGCACTCCGAGCTTCTGCTGTCAGCGGCGACGTGGGACACGAGGCGTCAAGCAGCAAGAGCCTGGACGCGACAGAGCGAACTGCGCACCGAAGCCATTGGAAAGGTCGGAGAGCGGCCGCGGAGGAGGAGAAAGGAGGCCAAGCGCACCCGGACCCAGCATGAGCCGCTGTTTCCTCACCAACTAGTGGTCGCTCTGAATACGCATCGCCCCGCGTCCTTCTTTCACCTCCTTCCCCCCCTCCTTCCTCCTATCCCTGCCTCTGCCCCCCGCAGGCCCATGTCGGCGCACCCCCCCGACGTTTCGTGGCCCCATACAGAGCTCCTCCGAAGGCCCCAGCGGCAGGGTCCGCGCGGCGGCACCGAACCCGTCTCGGCACACCTCTCGCACACTCCGTGGCCCCAATTGCGAGCTCCGCCGGAAGCCCCAGCGGCAGGATCCGCATGGTGGCACCGCACCCATTTCGGTACACCTCTCACGCGCTTCGTGGCCCCATATTGGAGCTCCAACCGAGCGCCCCAGCGCCCCATACTGGAGCTCCAACTCCACGCAGCGCCCCAGCGGGCGGGTCCCCATGGCGGCCCAGCACCCATCTCGGCACACCCCTCGCACGGTTCGTGGCCCCATAGATAGCTCCTCCGAAACACGCTTCGTGGCCCCATGGGGAGCTCCCCGCAGCGCCCCAGCGGCCAGATCTGCATGGCGGCCCCGCACCCATTTCGGCACAACCCTCACACGTTTGGCGGCCCCGGAGCTCGTCGCTGGAACCCATCCCATGCGACTAGCGCGCGTCGCGGGGAACCCCTTGCGTTCTGCCGCCCCCCAGGTGCACTTGTGCCTCGGAGCGAGCGACGGGCTTGCATCTTGCGGACGCCTGGCGCACTCCCATCACCCGATCATCCCTCCGCTCCGCCCCCGCGTACCCTCGTTCGCCTTTGTTATTCTTCTTAGCGCCCCTATCGTTTTTGCATATTTCTGCTCCCGCCCCTACTTCGCTTCACTTGCCTCATCCAGTACATCACTGCATATGCTTGGGCCCTTCGCCTCAATAGTTCCCTATGGGTTCGCGCTACTTTTATGGAGGGCTCAGAATTGTTTCCTGACCGGGCAGCCTTCGACCAGCTGAGCCGCGCCCAGGAGGTCCAGAGTGCCTCGGCCCCTGCAGTCGGCCCCATAAGCTTCGAAGGGTTCTCAACACGCTCGCGAGAGGGCCCCCGAAAACACTCCCCGAGAGTGTCCCGAAAACGCCCCCCTTGGGCATCGCGAAAATACCTTACTGCCATGGCGTTGCCCTGTTCTGCGTTTCGGACTGTGGGATGGAGTGGAGCAGGAGTCAGATGCGGAGACGGAGGAGGAGCAAGAGGAGGGAGGAGCGGAGGACATGGAGGAGAAAGAAAAGCAGCTGCAGAAGGTGGGGCGGACCCGAAAAGAATAGATGGGCAGGGGGGAAGCATGGTATCGCAAGTATGGCAGGGTTACGTGCTGGGCTTCGGGACCCATAGAGCGCCTGCTGTGTCTGCTGCGGCTGGTGCTCATGCGTTCGGTGCGCGTGGTACGATTTGCCGGTTTGGCGAGTCCCTTCTTCCTCTTCCACTCATTTGTTCATTCCTTCTGTTAGCCGCTTCCATGGGACATGATGGCAAGCATGGGCCATACTGATAGGTGTTTGATATTGCGGATGCCACGTGGGACCCCAGAAGGTGGTCATTACGGAGTTTCTTCCATGTTCTAACGATGACGCAAAGCTGCCCTGGCCTTCGCTATGGTCAGTGGAATATCCACTTGCGATGCCCCGAGGAGGCCGCCAGGGTGCGTCTTGGGGGCCTCTCGGGGCCTTTGGGGGGCCGACTGGGTCGTCCTAGAGCGCTCGTGGCCTGTCGGGCGCCTTTGGAGGCCGTCTCTGGGATCCCTCTGGGCTTTCTCGAGGACCTCTGCGGGATGCCTTAGCGGTGTATCGGAGGTCTCGTGGGCCGCACTGCGGCCTTCTTAGGGCAGTGTCGGGTGCCTTTGGGGCCGTCGTGGGGCAATCCTGCGGCCCTCGTGGGTGTTCCTTGGGCCGCCTTGGGGCCATCCTGGAGGCCCATCTGGCCGCCTTTGGCATCCGGAAGCCCGAAAGGGCATCAATGCTCAATTGCGTCAAGCACCGGAGGTTCGCTGGTAAGCTTAACGTATTCGAGCCCTCCTGGGGGTCCTTGACGGCAACATCCCAAGGAGTTGTCCGTTCGAGTTGTTTGAACACTCGCGCTCTGTAAACACGAGGGTGGTACTGGCGCGAACGGCTTTGGATGGTGTATCGCGCATCCTCGAACAGACCTGTAGTGCAGGAGCGCGCGCCGTGGGCTGCTGGACCAGCCTCGCCGAGTAAACACGTAGTCTTGTAGCGCACGCCGCAGGCTGGAACGCTGTGGCCCAGTGACAGTGTAGTGCTGCAGCGCACGCCGTGCGCTGCTGGAACGCCTCGCTCGGTGAGGCACACTGCCTGAGCACATGCCGTGAGCTGCTGCGGTGACGCAGCGATGATCAAAGCGTGGGCATCGCCCCCGATCTGCCACGATACGTACGCCTGCGTCTTACTCTCCCCCCATTGGCAACAACATTCCACCGCTAGAATAACCTATGCGCAGGAAGCTCCTGCGTGCTCCTAGTGGACATGTGTGTTGGTACTCCTCGGCTGATGCTGAGCCTGAGAGTTTTGGTAAGAACGGGTGGAGAAAGGATCTCTAGAAGGCCTGGGTAAGAGGTCGCAGATAGGGCGGCCTACTTGCCTTCCCATGCTGATAAGCATGTCCATGTGCCTCGGTGGCGGCCAATTTGCTGGACAGTCTTTCCACCGCGGATTGAAGCGAGGCGCTTGGGACATACATCATCGAAGTCAGAAGGGGGAGGAAAGGTAGAAGAGGAAGGCGTGGCAGACGAGGGTAAGGACAAGGACGAGGAACAGGTGGATAAGAAAGAGGAGGAGGAGGATGTGGAGGACCTTCGAACGACTCCCTCCGAGCACACATGTCTTGTAGCTGCGCGCCTTTACTGATTTGATCTGTCGCTGGGCTCCTCCTTGACGGCCCCCCGTGGAAGGCCTCCCCAACCGATGGTCCGACGAATCAGCCAGCTCTGGCCTCGTTCGATTCCTGACTCATCCTCCCTCTCATCACTCTGGCTGTTCTCAGCGTTCTTCCCGTGCTAATCTTCAGGCTCAGGGCAGCGCGCGGCACGCCGCACTGCCTCAACACGTTTACATCGTTTACGACCATCACACATATTCACGACAAGCACCGATTTCTTTGCCTCAACACTCATTACATAACACCTGGTGATGAGCCTCAACAGTGCGCTCGGTTCGCCGATCCTCAGGAGTTTCGCGCCGTTCGCGGTCGTCGTCTCCGTTGCCACCGTCTTTGACCTCGTGGCACCAACGAGCCCTGGAGCAAGAGGGGGTGACGCCGCCGGCGAAGACGAGACCTTCTTGCTCCAGACGCTCACGGGCGAGGCTCCTGCGCGCGGCGCCTCCTTCGCCAAGGGCTCCGCGGGCCTCTGGGAGGCCTCGGCGGCCGCCGTGCTCCTCCCGATCTTCGAGCTGCTCTCCCGCCCCGGCGGCGGGGCACGGCCCGGCAAGAAGTCCGCGGCGCTCCCCGGGCCTCGCAGCAGGCGCTCCGCCCCCCGGCCCTCCGTGGCGTCCGGCCGGGCGGGGGCCTCTGCGCAGGAGCGCGCAGCCCCGGCGGACTGCCCCGCCGCGGAGGACGAGCTCTGCCCGTCGTCCGTGTGCGGCCAGGCCAGCCAGCTGCACGCCGCACTTGAGGGCGGGGGACCTCGCGGGGGCGGAGGCGATCGCCCGGCAGGCGAGAGCGGCAGGGCAGCGGATGTCGGTGGTCACGCACGGCGCGCTGATCAACGCCTACGCCAAGGCCAGCGACGCCGTGGGCGCCGAGCGGTGGCTGGCGAACCTCACCACTTCTGGGCAGGGCAGGCCCAACACCATCTGCGTCACCATCGTCATCAGCGCGTGCGCAAAAGCTGGCGACATCGCCAGCGCTGAGAAGTGGCTCACGAGGATGCCCAAGCTCGGATTGGATCCCGACCAGATGAGCTATAACGCAGTGATAGACGCCTGCGCGCGTATTGGCGACGCCGATCGTGCGGAACGGTGGCTCAACGAGATGTCGCAGTCAGGAGCCGAGCCAGACGTCATAAGCTACAGCTCCGTCGTGAACGCGTGCGCCAAGGCTGGCCACATGCGCCGGGCGGAGTCGTGGCTGAAGCGGATGGAGCAGAACGGCGTCTTTCCCAATGTGATCTGCTTCAACGCGGTCATCCACGCTTGCGCCAAGGCTGGCGATTGCGAACGGGCAGGTTGGTGGATCGACCGCATGTTGGCGCAGGGAGTGCAGCCTACGGTGAACACCTACACGTCGGTCATGGAATCCCTTGCCAAGAGCGGCAACATCGAGGCAACGGAGAGGTGGCTCGTGCGCATGCTCCAGGAGGGCGTCGAGGCTGACGTGGTGTGCTACAACATGCTGCTCGGCGCCTGCAACCGGTGCGGCGACACCCAGCGCGCCCACGTGTGGTTCAAGAAGATGCGCGAGCGTGGCGTCCAGCCCAACACTGTCTGCTTCAATTTGCTGATCAACGTCTACGCCCGCAACGGCGACATCGAAGGTGCCGTGGATTGCTTAAAGCAGATGAAGGAGTGCAGCACTCCTCCCAACTCCGTGAGCTTCAACACCGTCATCAAGGCCTGCACGCGTAATGCCGACACGGCTGCTGCGGCCCATTGGTTTGAGGAGATGCAGAGAGCGGGCGTCCAGCCGGACTTGTTCACCTACAACGCGCTTATCGCGACGGGTGCCCGCGCGAAGGACCCTTTGTGTGCCGAGCGATGGTTGGTCCTCATGATGGAAAATGGCATCGAGGCGGATGCGGTGAGCTACACGACCTGCATAGACGCCTGTGCGCGCGGAAGCCATGCTGCGTGGGGCGAGAAGTGGCTCGTGACGATGGAAGAGGCTGGCTTCAAGCCGGGCGTCAAGATCTACGGAATCTTGATGCACGCCGCGGCCAAGGAGAGTGATTGTTGCCGGGTGGAGCGTTTGATGCAGAGGATGCGTTCTGCCGGCTTAGAGGCCAGCGGCTCCATGTACAACGCGATGATAAGCGCTTGCGCCAAGCGTGGAGAGGTCGAGCGCGCAGAGAAGTGGTTAAGCCACATGATCAACACTGGCGTGTCGGTAGATGCGGTCACGTACTCGACAGTGATTCACGCATGCGCCAAGTCCAGCGATCTCGCTCGCGCCGAGCATTGGATGGAGCGCATGCGCACAGCCGGTGTTGAGAGCAACAGTGTTACCTTCAATTCTCTCATCAACGTCTGTGCTCGCGCCGGCGACGCGGACCGCGCCGAGGAGTGGCTGACGAAGATGCAGAATGCAGGTCTGAGTCCAGGGGTGCTCACCTACAATTCGGTGATCAATGCATGCGCCAAGGCCGGAGACGCCGCTCGCGCGGAGTCCTGGCTCACGCGCATGGAGGCGAAAGGCGCGCAGCCGGACAGCGTGAGTTACAGCACCGTCATCCACGCCTACGTGAAGTCTTCCAACGAGAAGAGGGCGGAGCACTGGCTCGCACAGATGCACGAGGTGCGCCTGACACCAAGCGCCACCTGCTACGAGTGGGTCATCCAGGCGTGCACGCAGGCTGGCAACCTGGCCAGCGCCGAGCGCTGGATGACGGCGGCGCTGAAGACAGCCGAGGTGAGCGCCCCCACCGTCAACAGGTTCATCAACAGGTGCCTGCAGGGTAACGACCCCGTCAGGGCGGCACGCTGGACCAGGGAGATGGAGCGCCGTGGCCTCGCCCCGTCGCCCCCTCGACCCTCCCGAGCCTGACAGGGCCCCCCTGCGGGCGCGGCGGCGACGGCGCCGACGCGTGGGGTGTCGCAGGTGGTGCCCAGCGGGAGCTCGGCGGGGCATCCTGGAAGGCTCTGGCGCCGCGCCTTCTCTTTCGAAGGAAAGGAATGCGGCATGAGCACAAATTGTCTGAAGTCCGCGCAGATTTCTTGGGTTCGCGCTGGACTCCCTGGCTGGCGCGCTCTGCGCGCTAGGGATACTTTCTTGACGGCCACTGGTGGCAAAGAGTGCTCTCAGACACCGGGAGCGTCCGCGCGCGTTTCGCCGCATGCACTCCACATTGCAAACGCAACGTTGTCATCATCACCCTCATGCCCATTCCTACGATCATTGGAACCATACGTCATCGGCAGTTTTTGCAGGAGGGGTTGCACACGCGCACACGTGGAACCGTCCGTGACCCTTGAGATTTAGTCGTCGATATTTCTCTTGTCCTTGCCCATCACAGCAGCGTTGTGCGGAGGAGGGCAACGGTGAGGTGCAGATGTTTTCCAACACTCACGGGTTTCAGGGAGGGCGAGTCACGCCCCCCCGCTTTACGACGCCGGGGCGTGCCAAAGAATGGGAGGAGCTCAGGACGAAGAAGTGGACCCAGCGACCCCATTGTCTAAGCTATCACCAGTCCACCGATTCAGAGCGAGCTCGATTGCATCGGCTACAGGAAGATACGCTAGCCTAGCCTCCTCCTGGGCGCGAAGCGGCGGCCCATGCGCATCCCAGTTGTGTGAAGAGGAGGCCTCGCGTTATTGCCTCGCTTCACATCGGGGGGCCGTGCTATGTGGAAGGGGAAGCCCAGCTATACTCTCCTGCCTTCTGCAGTGTGCGGCAGTGGCAAGCCCCACCACTCTGCGCTGACGTGTTTTCCGCACGTGGGTGCCGATGCCCTCGGAAGCCCCCGCTGGGCCGCAGCCGTGCCGAGCGGCTGCTTCTGGGCCCACCCTCGCGGGGCGCCCGCGAGGCCGCCCGCCGGGCGGAAGCTCGGCAGCCTCGGGCGGCGCACGGGGCGCGCACGGGGCGCCCGCGGCTGCGCCCATCCGGGCGGAGGCCCGGGCGGCCCCCCCCCCCCCACGAGGTGCCCACGGCCGCCCGCCGAGGCCAACTGCCTGGCAGGCCCCGCCAGCGCACCGGGGCCCCCACGGGGCGCCCACCGGGGCGCCCACGGGGCGAAGGCTCGGCGCCCCCGGGCAGGGCACGGAGCGCGCACGGGGCGCCCTCCGGGCGGAGGCTCGGCTGAGCCATGGGGATGAGAGACCAGAAGTACGAGCCCCCACCGTCGGCCCAGAGTTCGGTATCGTTTAACCGATCCCCATCCCCATCCCCATCCCCTTCGAGACCCCCACCAAATTACCACCCCAGTTGGGGATACACCCCTCGAAACCCGAAGGGAACGACCTATATCCCCATCTAGGGGGGTAAATCGGCCAGTGGGGCCCAGGCCACGCCGCTGGGGATGGGGATCGGTTAAATGATACTCAAGAGTAGCAGGTCGGCCCTGCCAGCTCGAGGGTACCCTTGGGTCCTGTGCCTCGCGACGCGTGCCTTCTTGCACTCCTATGGCGGTGTGGCCCTCGGAAGGGTCTCGTGTCCTGGCGCGTGTCCTGTCCAATCAAGGCCGACTGTACGTGCAAGCACTGCTTGGGAAGTAATTCCCCACGCAGCTAACACATATTTGCCCGGGCACACCGTTTGGGATCCGCGCGGGCAGAGCCGCATGCAGTCATGCGACTGGTGATGAAGATGGCCCGGAGGAAGATGAAAAAGAGGGGTTGGTAATGAGCAGTCATCTGGGCGATTAGCAGTATTAGTGGTAGGCAGGGTAAAATACATGTGATGACTTTGGCGAGCCGTTGGAATACTTCTCCTGCTCAAGCCCTGGTCTTATTCCTGGGCTTGTTAGACTCTGACCGTGCAATGTTTCAGCGGTTCCTGTTAGCACTGGAAATCCCCTTACATTCTCCCACGGCTTTCCTCATAAACTAGATGCGTGTGTGTATGTGTGTGCGTTTTGTCATCCGGATAGATACTGAAGCTTAGAGCTTGCCCGAGAGAACAAGGAAGAGGAAAACATCTGTGGATCCCGAACACGGTTCAGCATGATAGAGGACACATCGTAGTTGTCCTGTGCGCGGGGGTATTGCGTTGTCCCGCAGCAGCAGCGCTGCGTGGATCTCAGCAACGATGGCACCCAGCATCCAGAGGCCCATCCGAGGGAAGGAGTAGAACCGGCCAATTGTTGCCCCACCCCTGTTCAAGCACCAAGATTCAACCGTCCCTCCCGAGCCCCCAGCGACCCCAGAAGGATGGCCCACCGCATGCGCGGCCTGCGCCTCACTACGACTGCCGCGGCGAGCGCGGCCTGCTGCCTGAGCCTGGCGGCCCGCGCGGGGCCTCCGGCCGCGGACGTGGCCGCCTGCGCGGTCAAGGCCGTCGCACTGGAGCGGGCCGAGGCCGTCCTGGGCGGCCGCCACCTGGACAGGGTGACTGCGGCGCTCGACCTCGCTGGCTGCGAGCTGGAGGCGGCGCCGCGGCAGCCGGCCCGGCGGGGCCGCCGAGAGGGCGCCGCGGTGCCCGCGCCCACGCTGTCCCTGCACGTGTCGCCCGGGGGCGACGACGGCGCCGCGGGGAGCGCCGCCGAGCCGCTGCGGACCCTGTCCGAGGCGCAGGCGCGGCTGCGCACGGCGCCGGAGGGCCGCGCGGGCGCAGAGGTTCGGCATCGTCTTACAGTCGGGGCCCTGAAGGAGGAACCCTTTTCGTTGGGGAGGGGCTCGGTGTTGTTCCTTGAGTGTTCTGCAGTTTGTCTCGGTATTCCTGAGGTTTTCCATGGGAAATCGAAGTTCAGCTTGTGGGAGAACGGGGCCTCGCTCCTTACTTAGAGTTCCTTAGGTCAACGCCCCGACGGTACCTGCAGAGAGGTTTTTCGTACACGGCCCGCGCGCGCGAGAGACGAATCCTCTCGGGGGTGCACGTCTGGAGCACGTAGAGACTGGGCGTCGGGTGGTTTGCCCTGCTCGTCTGCCGCGAAGTTCTGCCGTGTCGTTCTGCCCGCCCCGGGGGCGCTGCCAGCGCCACGGCCGGGGGGGCGGCGGATGTGCCCCCTCCTCCCGTCTCAGCGCCCGGACGCGCGTGCGAATGTCCACAAGGCCAATGAGTATTCACTGCGTGTCAGCACCGGGCAACGCGACGCAACATGAGCAACGCAACAATGCGCCGTTCGTATACAATTGCGCGGGCCTCTTGGTGATTGATTGGGGCCTCTTGGGGGACTCTTGAAGGTCTCTGGGGGGCCTCTTAGTGTTCCTTGTGGGGCCTCTGGGGGCCTCTTTGGGGCTTCTTTGGGGCCTCTTTGAGCCTCTTAGGGTCGTCTTGGGCCGTCTTGGGGCGCTCTTGAGCCGTCTGGCCCCTTCGGAGGCCGTCGGGGGGGCCTCTCGCGGCCGCCTTGGGGCTCTCTTGGAGTCTTTTTGGGCCGTCTTGGTGGCCTCTTGGGCGGTCTTGGGGGTCTCTTTGGGCCATCTTGGGGCCCTCCTGGGCTGTCTTGGGGCCCTCTTGGGGGCATCTGTGGCCGTCTGGGGGCCATATTTGAGGCTGCTTGGGCCGACATGGGCCCCCCGAGAGTTGAAGAAGGCAAGTCAATTCGTTCAAGAACCTTTGGAAAATCATAGGCTATTGGCTGGTGCCGTTCTGCTTCGTCCTGTGGTGAGATATCCCGCGCAACAGCGCGCGCAATTGGGTCCACCAACAATTGATCTGATTCCGAAGTGGGGAAGCTTCTGACTTACAAGGCGCGTCACAATTAACGTGACAAATTAGTAGGCCCGACTCGAGGGATTACTCCGCACTGGTCACCACATACGTCTTACCCCTCAACCTCCGCCCAATCACCCTCCGCTTCCCCCCTGTTTATCCTCCTCCTCCCCCAGCCTTCATCCATCCACCCTCCATCCGGCCATCCAGCGCCCCCCCATGCAGTGTCCACCCAGCCGCCCTCCACACGTCCAGACATCTACCCGTTGATCCGTCCTCCTATCTGCCACCCTTCTTCCACCCAGCCTCACTGCAACCAGAGTCCATCCATCCATCCTCCATCAAGCCTCCCTTTTCCAACCCCCACCCCTCCATCCATCCAACGTGCATCCATCCAGACCTCCTCATGCCGACCTCATTCCATCCAGCCTCCTGCCAATCAGCCTTTCTCCATCCTCCCTCCATCGAGCATCCCTGTTCTCTCACCCCTCCCCTCCCTCCATCCAGGCTGCCTCCATCCAGGCTCCTCCGCTAGCTTCCCTCCGTGCCTCCATCCTTCCTTCCATCCATCCCCCTTCCATGTCGGTACAATCCGTGCACCAATACATCATGGGCGCCCCCATCCCTCCTTCGACTCGTAGTCACGTCAAGGCAGATTGTATCATCATCCCCTGTATCCTCTTACCCTTCTCCTTCCACCTCCTCCTCTCCTCATCCTGGCTCTTCCTCCTCCCTCCTCGTCCTCCTCGTCATATTTTTCGTCGTCGTCCTCCTCCTCCTCCTCCTCCTCCACTCGTTCCTCCTCCTCCTCCTCCTCCTCCTCCTCCTCCTTGTCAGAATCATCATCGGTTTCATGGTGCGCATGAGCGCCAGCAGCAGCAACATCAGTGCCAACATCATCAAAATCGCCATCCTCATCATCACCAGCAGTACCGTCACAAACCTGATCACCAACAGCATCATCAGCATCACCATAATCATGCCGTTCATCGTCAGCAGCATCATCATCGACATCGTTATCGACGTCATCATCGCCAACATCAGCATCACCCTACTCATCCTCCTGCCCCTCCTTCCGTTCCTCCCTCCTCCCTCCCCTCTCCTCCTCGTCGTCTCCCTCCTCCTGCTCCCCCTGCTCCTCCTCCTCTCCCTTTCCCTCCTCCTTGTTCCCTACTCCTCCTTCTCCTCCTCCTTCTCTGACTCCTCCTCGTCATCATCGTGGACTTTGCCTGGTAAATGAATGCGCGCCGGCTGTCTGGTAAAGCTGTCTGGTCAGAAAATGCCTGCGGCTGTCTGGTAGGGAATTGTGCGCAGGCTTTCTGGTGAGGAGACGCCTGCATGCTCTCCGCAATGTCCGCTTGCTGTCCGACGACTGCCTGGTAAAGACACGCATGCGACTTTGGTAGGGAATTGCGTGCCAGCTGTCTGGTAAGGCAACGCCTGCTGGCCCTCTGACTGTCTGGTAAGTAGGCACACAAGTGGGCTTGCCCCCCCCCCACCACCCCTTTTCCAACATTGACGCACAACCTGAGCTGGGGCAGGCGCTGGCGATCCACGGAGGAGGAGGAGGCGGAGGACCAACGCAAACCCAAGACGTACCAACGATATTGCAATACACCTTCCCTTCAAGGTTCCTTTTCGTAGGCCCCTACAGAGGGCCATCTTCACTCGGGGAAGACCTCCCCGTTGGAAGACGACCGCCCTGGGATGCCAGCGCCACGAATCACAGTCACTATTGCGGTTCGGCGATCCTGCATCGCGTCAGAACACCGTTCGTGGGACTCAAGCGCGCAGAAGAGGAATTCTGGACGCTTCGCGCATCCCCGTCAGCCCGGTGCGCTTCTCAACTTTGGCGGGGAAAGGGGTCGTCATACGTGCCCCTCCAGTTTGAAAGGCCAGGCCACCCAGCGCGGGGTCAAATTAAGTGCGACGCGGCTTGTAGCTCCTATGCGGGCGGCTTGACTGGAGAAACGATACCCGTCAGCGCGACGCGGGCCCGAAGGGACCTGGACCCCATGATGGCTCCTAATGATGTGTTCAAAGTGCATGATCCACGAATTGCACAATCCAGACACTGTCGTGACCAGGGAAGGCCTGAGCCGAACGGCTACGGAATCCACCAGGGCTGGAGCAAGGAACCGGAGAGACTCGTGGCCAGATTTAAATCCTATCTCCTGTCGGCATTGACCCCAGGTCGCCTCGGGAGCGTAGAGACTAGGACCCCCACAGGTCCTTCAACCCCGGTCCCCAAGACTGATTCCGACTTGGGCGGGCGGGCCCAGGGTCTCGTCGGTCGGTTGAAGGCCAACCGCGAAGTTCCGAGCCGACATCGAAGTCGCGGTTGAGCAACCACCGCCCACGTTTCTCGAAACGGGTTACTTTCGGCGGCGGGCGAGGCGGGGAAGTCAGAAAGGAAAAGGCCTTCTCAGAAGGCTGGGGGGGTTCTCAGAAGTTTTTGCGCCTTCAGAAAAGTTGTGCTTATCTTCGGGGAAAGCGTAGAAAACTTCTCAGAAGGCCAGGGGACTTCCGAGCCTTCTGAAAAGGTTTTTTCCTTTTCACTTCCCCCCCACGCTCGTCGTCAATACTTACCAAGCCAACTGGCACCCGTCTGGGGGGGGGGGGGGGCAGGACCGACCCCAGGAGCATCATGAACCCCGGCAGTTTGATCGGGCCCCGCCGCTCCCCGACGAAGGGGGCCTTGTGGTGGATACACAGGGGCTGGCACGAGGGAGGTCACCGTGGATGGCCTGATGGCTGCCACCCTGCACAATTGCAGGTGCCGACGCGACAGAAGCCTACAAAAGTCATTCGCTCTTTTTGACCCGACGACTTCTTGAACCCTCACGCTGCATGGCAGCGCTCGAGACAATGCGAGATCCTCCCTCTCGAGCTTCCACGTCCCACTTACGAAGCCCGACGGCTGAACGAACGCGAGTCACGATCAAGGCGAAAACGTCATTGTGAATTCACCTGCCCTACGAATTTTTTAAAAGAACAGCTTGAGCGTGCTATTCTCCCCCTGTGGCGCAGCTGGCGCCTGAGCCTGCGCCTGTGCTTCGGTTCCATGGCCCAGTCGCAGGCTGGGCCCCGCGCCGCCGTTCTCCCACCAACGTTGGAAGTCATGTTCGCGCCCTTGCCCTCCCCAGACCTGCCCTGCTTCGGTTCTGGAGCTTCACCTCGGCCTCGAGCTTGACCGCTGACAAGCGCTTCGTCTAAGCCTCCAGCGCCTTGGCCTGCGAAGCCCCGGCGTCAGCTTTGGCCTGGGCTGAGGGCTCTGCCCGCACCGCTGTCGCTCTTTCAGCTGGTGCGGATGCCGAATTGCTGCCCTCGCCTGCCTTGCCATCGTCATCAGCTCCTCTACGCACGGCCTCCTCCTTGCCTGTGCGCCGTTTCTTCTTCATGCGCTCCTCGATCTCCTTTCTGAAACGGTCCATCTGGGCTGACCATTGGCGCGCCACGGACTCCTTGCAGGACATCCCCTGCTCCGTCGCCAACAAGCGCGTGGATCTTCTCGAGGCCCTTCTTCTCACTGGGCTCCATCTGGCCTAGCTTCCCGAAGAACTCCTGGCCCCAGTCTATTCTGACCAGCCTAGGGTCTGCGCCGCCGTCGTCCGCTTGCGGCGACTTCGGCGCGGCCCCCACCCCCTCGGCGTGGGCCATCCACTGCGCCGCCGAACGTCGGGCCAGCACCGTCGACGCGAGCGCGCCTCGGAGGTCTCCTTCTCCTTGGTCTCCGCGCTCAGGACTGCCTGCCTGAGCCTCACCAGGTACGCCACGGCCTGGTTGCGCTTGTGGTCTGCATCCCTGGAGACTCCGCCTGCGCGACGAAGCTGCTCGACCTCTGACGCTGGCGTCTTGCTCTTAGCCGGCGCGGTCTCGGCCTCGAGTGTCTTCATTTGCTCCTGCAGCGACAGGTTGAGTTCCTCGCTCCCCGCCGCCTCCGCGGCTCGCAGGGGAAGGGAAG